TCAGAAATGTAAATTTTAAAAAATAAGTAACTCCATCAAAAATACTATGTAGGTCCAACTAAAAGTCTGTTTATTAAAGGGTCCAATAATATTGAAGTAGAAATAACTAATTCACATTTGGTCCTGTAATCATTAGTTGGGCCAACTATTTTTATTTAATTCTTTCCGCTAGAATTTTATCTTGTCCTTGTATTATCCCAAATATTTAACAAATATTATTCAAACTTCATAGAAAACGTTTTATTAAAGCATGACGCAAATGGCATTGTTATTTGTATAATAACAGATCGTACATGTTACTAAAAAACTCTATAGCCGGGTAAAATAAATCTCTAGTAAAAAACAATTTTGGTTAGCGTTGTACAAAATATTTGTCCAATCTTTGAATATTTTTCATATTATTAGATCGTAATGAGTCAAAATATTAATTATATTATTATACATTGCCTCAAGTCAGAGTATCATTAGTGAACATGTTTTTTTAAAAAGAACCACGTTTTAATTTCAAAATAAATTAGGCACAAAATATACCTAATGAAAGCTATAAACTTAAGTAAACAAGTAACTTCTCCCAATATACAAAGTAGGTCCAACTAAATATCTGTTAATTAAAGAGTCACAATAAATTTGTAGTTAACATCAACATTTAATTTATTATTTTATTATTTATAGAAGTATAATATAAGTACTCACTCCACCCTAAAAAAGTTAAAACTATAGATTTTGCTATATTTTTTAAAATTAATACTACATAATGAAAATGAAAAGTATTTAAACATTTTTAATTATGATCATTTAGTAGGATGAACTGTTGGTTAGCCATCTAAAAAAATATCAATTTATGGATTTAATTATATGGATCAAAAAAATATGAATGTATTATTAATTTATCTATTATATATAAAATATGTCACGACACCATGGCCGGCGTAGCCGGGCACCCCCCTCAGAACCGCTGTGTACTGACATATAACATACTACGTTTGAACAAATTTTGTTTCACAAAGGTAAACCATAACAGACATTTAGCCGACTGACCTCTAGACATTTTTATCTGTGTCTCTAGTTTTATAAATAATAGTTGTCTCAAAAGTCCGGGGGAATGTAAATATACTCTGTACTTATATGTACAATAAGTCCCATGAAATAGTACAAACACGCTACAGTACTTTGCTGCAAGTCGTAGTTCGTACATTTATGTTGTCCCAACTTTTGTGTAAAGTGTATACCATAGGTTATATATCAGTTAAGTTTATATATGTTAAAATAGAAAGTATTCCAAAAAATAAAAAGCGATTATCCAAAATGAAAAAAATAAAGAATATATTAAATCATTACCACCCAATAATTTTTAACGTTATTTTTACCTAAAAAGAAGTCTATATATTTCGTCTTAGCTCTTTTGTAATATTATCGATTAGATTAATGTTTTAAGTATATATATATATATATATATACAGGGTGATCCAACTAACGTAAGACACTTATTTTCTCGGAAAATATAAATATTTTGAGAATTTTTTTTTTTCTAAACTTTTAGGTACATATTTTACTACATTTTTCAATATTTAGAATATTTTTATCTTCAACCCTTATATGTAAAACAAGTATCGCATTTGGTTTTTTAAATGGGAACGTATGTTTTTAATTTCATAAATCTGTAGACAACATTTTTAAAAAAGTTTTAGCTTTTGAATTTCTAATTTTCATCAATCGGTTTTCTACTTATTACGTTGTAAAGATTTGAAATTTTGATCCATATTTATTTGGGATTTCAAAACAGGTAGCATATTAAATACTATTAAATAATATTATCGACCTCGCCCCGTCGCCCGTCGATAAAGCCGATAATCAGATAATAGTAATACTCCTTACTTTTTTTTTTATAATATATGGAGATGCGGTTCTTTACCTACTGTCAGAAACCGCGATACCGTATATATGTCTGGTCAATTGTTCATATATCTTATCAGTAGACAACACTTACGACGAAATTTTTTCCAACCTTACCTACCCATATTTTCACGGTATGATTATGATATATTATCAAGCCCAAAAACCAGTACAGTGGGGTCGGTGCATAGTGGGGACGGAACACAGTTGGGTCGGGGCATATTGGGGACGGGGAGGTCACAGGTTTACAGGAATTTTTAAATCTGAAAGTGATAAAATCACTTTCGAAAAAACGCTTCGATGCAAATCGGTAGTTAGTATTTTCAAGCCAGTACAGTCCAAACCAAGCACAGTATAAACCAGCAAAGTTAGAAAGTCTTAAATGAAGGTTCTGTATTTACAAATGAGCATCAAAGCGTTTATTTGAAAGCGATTTTATCCAAGAGGACTAGTACAGTAGAGTATTGGCATAATGTAATCAAAGCAATGAGGAAACGGAGAGGTCACAGGTCTACAAAAATTATTATAAATAAAAGTGATAAAATTGAATAAAATTGACCTCCCCGTCCCCACTATGCACCGACCCCACTGTACTGGTTTTTTTTTTTTTGCAAAAACTTAGTGGACCAAATAACACATATACAATGTCTTGTTATATTTTGTTGGAATGGTCGACGATTCATGTTCCAATCGTTTGTACTCCATAGTTTAAATTATAATCGCTTATTCTCAATAAAATTAATATTTATGTATTATATACTTCCATTATAGCAATCTCACACAAACTATTTATACTTCACAGATTATATTATTTCAAAGCTATATTATACTTCTATTTTACTAGATTGACAATGTACAAAATAAAATGCAACTAAAAAAACCTTTTCATAGATCCTTAAAATGTAAAGGGTGGGATAGTGAAACGGGTTTTACCATTTAAATACATTAGAAAATCGCCGTTTTACTGCCTCATCCTGTATATTAATTTCTTGTTATTTTCTAAAGAAAAATTGAGTTTCTAACATTTAAATTAAAATTAATCGTATACTGGTACTGTGATGGAGAAAACAATAAATTTTACCTACATATATTACTTATTAGTTAAATATTACTAACGTGTATAACCACTAGCGGTCGACTGTTGCCTGTTATTTAACAATAACCTTTTATGGAGATTTTAAAAATTGTGTTTTTTTATAATAATATCATAAGAGCAGTATTATGATGTTAAACGTTCACGAGATTTAATCTAGTCATAAAATAAAGTATTATCATTTATGACTTAATTATTATTAAAATTTATCTTAATAGTAATAGTACATAGTAATAAAATAATGAAATATTTTACACAAAATTAGAGCTACAAGTTGATAAACTAAAAATTTAAAATTAGCACGAAGCAGATTATCTAATATTAGACAATTTAAACAATCAAGCGTGAATCTCTTTAAATGAATAACAGTATAACAATATACAGAACATTAGTTTTCCTTTAAAAAAATTGTGTAATAAAAAATACATTTTGAGGCGGTATACTGCATAAAAACCAACACTTAATCTGAATCCAAAAAACAACAGTCCTCTTCATTACTAGCAGGTGACCTTTTATACTCATAGTTGACCTTCGGTACGGTAATATAACGCAGGCGATAAAATTACGAGATAACAACAGCGGTTTTGTCGTATCAGAATCATTAAGTGTCTTAATAAGTTCACGGATAGGTTTTTTTCCCAATAAATCGTGTGTCTACTATAATCAGTTACACGATTTAGTCGTCTGTGATATCATGTAATAAACACAATATAATGATACCGACCGTTGGGCCCTAACCTATCATAACACGGATAGACGTTACCAACTGATAGTTTTTAGTGTCTGTTCGTTTCTCACATCTGGTACACCGGGTTTTTAGTAAAAAAAAAAAAAAAGTTGAATTTGTCTAAACTTAAGGTCAAAAGTGGTACTTGAGCACAAAACCTAATAGTATCATTCTGCATAGATATACATATAAAAATTGATTTAATGATTTGATCAATTTTTTTTAAAGATTTTAGGTGTTTTTGTTAAAATATACGAAATCTGCGAAAACACAGTTTCCCGGCAGTTAAAAAAAAAACTGTAGTGCCGAATTTTTTTCCCGTTTAATATGTTATGGGTACATATGAGTTCCAACTACTGGCAAATTTTCAACACAAAAGTTTTAAAATTACCGCTAAAAACCCCGAAAAACAAAAGTTCTAACTTAAAAACTCGTACGGTTTTTTTTTTGTTTTTTCAACTTTCGTCTGTGAAGAATTAAACTTTTTAACTTTAACCCCCCCATAGTACAAACTAGACAAAATTTGTGATTTATAGTGTTGCTATTCGAAGGAATTGGTCAAGTATTAAAAAAGTTACAGTGTATACAGCGAAAAAAAAAGCCCACATCAGAGTAAAACCAATACCTTCTCGCTTTGCATCGAAGCTAAAATAAGTCTCGCCATTATATTGATCTGAACATAATTTGTTCACTACTGCACGCTCGATGCTAAATTAATATTTCGTCTAGTCTCCACACAAAGTGATTAAATAACAGCGTATAACACGTTGGCTACTAGACTCATTTTATACACCATGATGGACACATGTGTCTCTCACCTGAATATTCTTAGCGTACCAAGAGCAACTTTATTTGTGTACCAAATTAACAACATTGAAATAACGTTAGAACAATCAATTGACAGATATACATTTTCTTTATAATTAAATATAGGTAACGATTATCTAACTTTTTTTTATTCAGAAGCACTGGTCACTCTCGTTTTACCTAAATAATATAATGTATTAAAGTGTATTTCATTTGGAGTATCGCTGGTGACCTTAAACTTCCCAACCAACCCTTTACTTATCTTTTTTTCCACTTACATTTTTTCCGTTAAACGAGGAATAGTTTTGTTTTCCTTTATGTAAAAACAAGTTATTATATTGTTGTTCATAGGCAATGCTATAATTCTGTTGTATTCGATTAATCCTTTTTTACTTAGTTTAACCTTAAGTTTAAATACCATAGTAAAAATTAAATGTTTTTGGACACGGTTAAAGGAAATATGTGTTTATTTATTTATCATAATATAAAGGACAAACGGGTTTTTTTATAGTAATTATTATAATATTAGTAACAATCGTTTGTATAACTATTATTTTTTATATTCGTATTAGATGCATTTGAATCAATTTTCAGGGAATACACTAAGGTATGTATTTTTACTTGCGTCAATAAAGAACGATAAAACATCCAATGTTAATCCGTCTAAACCTCTTTCGAACCGTCGATAAAATTCTGTTAGGTGAGTATCAATTTTCATTAGAAAATATTTTGAATCATCAGATTGTCTTTTAAGTAGGACTTCAAAATGAGAACTTGATGGTGTGTCAATGTCTGAAAGGTCGGCCAATTTAGTTTTATTAGTATACCCTATAATTAAATTTGACAAAATCTTATTTACTTCATCAGTTATTATTTTCAAAACTTCATCAACCTGCTCTTCGTTAATTATTTTGACTCTAATCTCTTTTTTATTAGAATCAGCTAATTTACCGAATTTATCAAACAACGTTATGACATTGTTTAATGTTTTGTCTTCGATGTAACTGAACTTAAGCACTTTCATAATCAGGGACTTAAGATAACCATAAAATATATAATCAGACGGGTCGTATCCAGATATAAGCACATATATATAACAATATAGTTTTATCATTATGATATCTCTAAACGATTTTTGAAAACGAATATATTCAAACGGATACTTTTTCCAGTTAGTGAAACCACACGTTTGAACCGTTTGACGATCAAATGCGTACGCCTTCTCTATCGCAGTCCAGTCAATAGTTACGTTCGGTATTGGTTTAATCAAAAACGGCGTATACTCCCATACACATTTTAAGGATAAATGATCGAAACTGAGAGGCAATGCAGGGGAATTTTTTTTAAAGAGTTCATGTTTTTCGTAGTTCAATTTCCAAGTTTGCTCAGTATTAACGATCAAATTTGGCCTACTACTTGATTCTTCCAACATCGGTTCATAGTGTCTATATTTTTTAATGTTTAATTTTAAATATCCCACAAATTTATTTTTCAAATGTGGCCTACCTTTTCTACGATCATGGTTTTGTTGATCATTATATATGACTGTTATATATTTATGTTCCGCACACATTTCTATCAAATCGGCTAAAGGTTTTTGAAAGTTTTCAAAATCTTGCATCATCATATTTAATGGTTGTTTGCCGTCGTCCGTGGTCGGTGACAAAAGGTTGATATACAATTCCCAAAGCCATTTGAACGCAACGACTTTACCTTTGTAAGCCATCGCTATCATATTGTATACATACTTAGCAATTTCTTTTATATTCGGTTCAGTACCATATAAGATGTACTGCAGAACCAAATAGTCGGCGCACTGAATTTCTTGAATCTTGCGATAGTATTTCAATTGAGCGAGTACTTTATCGTTTAGTGAATCTTCTGTGTTGCTGGTAGTCAATATTCTTTTTTCATCTTCAGTAAAGATGATGGGAGAGTCCTTAAACGTGTTGTAAGTGTTCAGCAGTTCAATGAAATCGTTTGAATAATTTCCGACATTGATATATTGTTTCAATAACGCATCCTAATGGACATTTAAGTTATTAAAAATAAATCTAAATTTTAAGTACAGAATAGATTGTTTTATGCAACATAAAATAAATCATTGGAATTTGGAACAGTTAATTTATATAGAATTGAAAACATTAACATGGTCCAAATAGTACTATGTTTATTGCATAATATATGAATTGCATTTTTCAACTTTGGCATTACCTGTTGAACTAACAATGATTTTTACCAGTTGATTTTAGCTTTAACCAAGTTTTTTGTATGGATTTATTATTTTATTTTAGTATATAAAACACAGCTGGACTAAATCAAGGGAATGAACTCTCTCCGATATTTTTTAACATCGCACTGGAGGGGTTAGCTCGGAACATACATACATACTAAATATAAAGGAATTGACGTAGGAAAATCAGTGTCAATCTTAGCGTATGCTGATGATATTGTAGTACTTGGGGAAACTATAGACAATACAAAACTAGCAACGGAAGAATTAATACGATGTGCAAAGGCTATAGGATTTAAAAAAAAACGAAAAGAAAAGCAAGTATATGTGTATAACAAGGGAGCAACTACAAATACATCAGACAAAGAACATACATATTGGAGAGTACAAATTTAAAAAAAATTGCATTGCTTTAAGTATCTAGGCACAGAACTGAATAGCAAAAATAACAACCACGAAGAGCTAATGAAACGTGTTTCAGCAAGCATCAGGTGCACTGCATGGAGTGGAAAACTATACAGTGGTAGCATTGGGTAGAGAGAGATGGAAGGAAGTGTAAGTTTCAGTAAAGGGCCTCAACGGCCTCTGAAGCTGAGAAAGAAGAAGATAACATTATGTGGATATTGATTGAGTACACTAGGGTTACTAAGGATTCGTTCTTTTGACAAACATGTCATTCAACATTCAGTATCATCATGTATCGACTGCTAACCAGTGTTGAGATAATTTTTTTCGAATAAAAGATAAACAAATATTATTTAATATTTTTACTATCTTAAATATTCGAATAAAAAAATTATCTTTACTAAAAATGTATTAAATTTTAATAGAGGAAAAATTATTCGACATCAATTTTTATTTCATGTATAAATATTATGATTAATTTATACTAAGGTTGAGTTTTTTACATTTTTTCCTCTCACATCCGAAATTAGCTTAGGCGCAATTTTTGGGACCTCTTGGGTGAAATTTGTTCTAGTTAGTAAATTATTAAGTTAGTTGTTAGTTCGTACTAGTTAGTTAATTTCTAATACACGTCTAATGAACCATACAAATAAAAAATATTGAGTTGCCCCCCGGATAGGCAACCGAACTCACAACCTCGACGGCCTACGCGCAGTGTGTGTGGGAACGGCGCGGCGGCACAGAGGGAAAGCACAAGGACGGAGGAAAGGGAATCAGTTTATACAAAGGGAAAATAATAAAACAGTGTAATTTATGGGGCTGGGGTCCCTGTGGTCGTTTCGGTCTGGTGCAATGACCACAGCTCACAGGGCGCAAATAGTCAATGCTATAGTCAAGTTGCTGTTTCCACTCAATGTCTGTTAGCGCGTGGATTGATCTGGATCGTCAATTGGAGAAACAATCACAAAATATGACAAGTCGGTGGTTTTATGAATGAGCTGTATTTTAATTTTGTCACAACTGTGCCGTAATGGCAACCGAACACGAAAAAAAAATTCAGAGAATTACTGCCGTAACGACACAATACACAACGAAAATTCGAACAAAAACAATTTCGAATTGTACTTTCTAAAAGAAGAAAACAAAAGGTGTGTGCATCGCACAGCACACCAGCATGTGTGTGGAAAAAAGTTAAAGGTTTTGTCGCATAATAAAACAACAAAAATATGGTACATTTGATAGTGTCAGGGTGAATGGCTATGGAGTGCACGGGAAGGAGGGAAGCGCCGATTACCGATAACGCAACGCGAGCAAAGTGTAAACATCTAATAATACTATTCGATTATTATACTCACCTAACCTAACCATACTAAAAAAATGTCAAAAATATATCCACACATTTATTAGGTGTGGATACACTTTGATATATAGCCTCAGGTCCAAACTCCATCAAACTCCCAGAAGGGGGAAGGTTTTTCTTTTTTTTTTGGTTAACTTTTAAGTTTAATTTTAGGATTTTAGTACTGAAATAATGGAAGCTCAAAAAAGAAATGCGGAAAGTGTAGTTTACTGATTTATAACAGGTTACATGTGTAATTTGTTTAATTAATTAAAAAATATTATTTATTACAATATAGTAATATAACCTAATTTAACTTAGTCCAAACTCCGATAGTTATATGTATTGATATAATTACTATTTTCAGAAAGCTAATTTTTAAAGTTTGCAAAACTAACAGTCAGTGCTTATTGGAAAAAAATCGCTTGGATTAGGGAATGAACTTTTCCCAGTATTTTACACAGTCAAGTCACCACACAAAGCGTCGAATCGTTTTCAAAAGTGGCAATTTAGTGTTGTTTGATAGGGAAGAAAAAAATTGTAGTCATATTTTTATAATGTGTAATATGATAGGAGGAGGAGGAAGAGTGGCCGAGTGGGTTAGGCGGCGGTGTGTTAGCGCTCCCTGTCGCCGGTTCGGCAGAGCAAGTCACGGGGCCTATATTTGCCAGGTGAGCAAACAAAGTAAGCAAACCTGGCAAATCCATCAAAATAACAATAACTTCATACATTGTGCGACCTAAAATAATGATCAAATACACGGTAGTTATAATATACTTTGCGATTCAGATAAAAAAATTCCATATTATTCATCAATATCAATTTAATTATTTACTAGTAGCTGTAGTTGGTGGTTTACTAGAGGCTAAAGATTTTTAGGTGAACTCAGTTTTAAATTATTTTAAAAGAAGCATAAATACTTAATAAATATATAATTACAAGTAGAATAAGTATTATATTTTAAATTCACCTTTGTTTTGTCACGGAGGTCCAACTCGTCTACTGCATTTCTTATTTCGTCGTCGATAGGTCTAAGTACAAGCATGTCGGTTAATGGACTTGACGTCACAGTCGTCAATTGGATAACCAATTTGACCGTTAAAATGATAAGACACGGACTTGCTGCCATTACGAACAATCAAGACACTAGTACTTTAATTATTCTTGTAATGCGTTAATGTTGTAATGTATGTGAAAAAGATGGAAAAATAATAACTTATAAACTGAAGAACATTGGATACGTTTTAACGCATTAGACTGAACTTTCTTATTGAATAGCTTATGTGTTTTTCTGTAGTTTAGTGAAAATATTTTTAATTTTATGAAATCGGGGTACCTGTGTACACACTAACAAAACAACTAAAGGTATGTGATCGAATCCAACACGGTAAATATTTTACACTGACATTTTCTTAATAAGAAAGACGGTTTTGTATGAAACGATATTATACAGGGTAATAATAATCGTATGTCAGATTTAATATTTTTTAATATTTAATAGTTTTTAACTAAAATTGTATAAAATAAATCTTTTTATTATAAACTACCAGATATTATTTTTTACGTAGTAGGGTACAAAATAATGAAGTCCGGTTGTGCAGGGTTAGTTTTAAAAGGCACGTTGCAGACTACATATTTTAATAAAACAAATAAAAGCAGATTATCAATTACTTAACCCTTTTTCTAGTCATTGATAGTGGTTTTTAGCTCAAAACTAATTTTTAAAAAAAATAGTGGAACCATAATGGAGTAACCAAAAAACGACTAAACTATCAAGGAATGGGTTGGAAAACATGTTGTCTTACTTTTTGAATGGCTCAAGATTTATGAATTAGTGATATGTATGTCCTGGTTAATGACGTGAAAAAAAAGGATTATTTATTGTAATAACAATACTGTCTTGCCTAAGTAGCTTCGTATAGAAACTAAAATATTAGGTAAAAATCTTAAAAACTCATTTATATTATCCATTATGTTTTAGGTGTCTATACTTTACAGTTACAGTGTATAAGAATTGTTAAAACAAATACTTGCAAAGTACTGATTTTCGCATCAAATAATTCCGTGCACTGTTTATATTAAAAGTATACATGAACACATCAGGTGTAGTTGTCAACATATATCTTAGTCTAAAGTAAATAGTTTGAAACGTGCCATCGTTGAACCGAAACCAAAATGTGTATTGAAGAGGCGTTTCAAACTGCTCGAACTAAACGTAAAGTACAAGACCGAGAAAAATATACTAGATAAATATACAGGGTAAACGATATAATACATTCGACTTTGAAAATTTCTGCGTTGAACAAATACTTATTATTATTATTTTATACAAAACCGTTTAAAAGGGTGGGCTTAGGTTTAAGTAATTGTTTATGTAATGGTACACGTCTTATTTAAAATTATGTTTGATTATGTTACAATATATCAAACCGGATATTATTGGGGTATATTATATCTTATCTAATACTGTTTTGACGGTATACCTGTGAGTACCACTATGCCCTGACTTTGTCCACGAAGTTGTTCATGGTTTTATCGATGAAAAATAATTTCAATATGAAAATAACATGTCTATTTTTATATTTTAACTCAAAATTTTATTGAGTGTCTATTCGACTGAACAATACTTGCCCTCAGAGCTCTTAAATCTATTGTTTGCATAACTATATAAGAAGATTCCCTGTCACAAATGCGATTGAATAAAGTCAATTTGCATCTTATATAGTTAAACTTTAGGATCGCTCTTTTCCACGGTTTAGGTGAACGGTTCCACAACGCTATTCGCCGACCTCTGAGTAATTTTCCTAGAGTTTGACTAAATATTTGAATATATTTCTTATATTATCTATACTATGGAAAATTGTAAAAGTTATAGCAACTGTTGAACCGAATCCATACTTTAATGTTTAAAATCCGAACGGCCCAAAACCCACACAGTCGTTGTGTGGGTATATAATAATATGGTAGCGCACTCTTTCCTTCATCGTCATCACCATCGTCTGCCACTATACAGCGAAGTAATGATGCTCAAAACGGTAATAAAACTGTTAACAATAGCAGATTGTTTTTTTTTTTTAATATTTATATTAATATAGAAACTATTGGAAAATGTTTAATGAATAAAATTGTATTTTAAAGCGCTTGTGAGTTCAATAATTACCTTGAAATAGTACAAGCTACAGTAGGTAAGTATCTAATGCGTATAATATTCAATTAAACTGTAATTTAAGTTTTTGAAATTGTGCTTCAACTATGTAAACAACATGAAAACGTGGATCTTTAATACTAACATTAATTTATAAAATTCGGCCGATTCCGTTCTACCAGTAGGTCCAATTAATTTTGTCAAAATCATATTTTATTCACCTGTTATATTTTCATAACTTCATCAAGTCAAAGGAAGTAGGAAAGTTAGAAAGTAATAAATTGAATCGGCCATTTCAAAAACGACTTAGGTCACCGATTTTTCAAAACTGTCTTTTTATCAAATGTAATAATTATATACTTAGCTACGTATTCTGTGTGAAAACTCAATTTGTCAGACTCATATTTAATACAAATGTTGAGTACAAGAAATTTGAATCACTGCAAAATATATTTATGAAGTTTCTTGTGGCTAGTGTAATATTTCAAATTTGTGACTTGTGTCGTTTTTTAAATGACTGATAAAATTACAAAATAGAAGCATCAAAGCGTTAATTTGAAAGTGATTTTATCTAAGAGGACTAGTACAGTAGAGTATTGGCATAATGTAATCAAAGCAATAACTTTCCTAGCTTACACTGTGCTTGGTTTAGATTGTACTGCCTTGAAAATACTAACTACCGATTTGCATCGAAGCGTTTTTTCGAAAGTGATTTTATCACTTTCAGATTTAAAAATTCCTATAAACCTGTGACCTCCCCGTCCCCACTATGCTCCGTCCCCACTATGCCCCGACCCCACTGTACTGGTTTTTTTTTTTTTTTAATTAATTTACAACAAATTGATGAATATTCAGGTTTTTTTCGTGAGAAGTTTGAAATAGGTTTAATAGAAATAAAAGTAGAAAAGAAGATAATATTTATTGTGACCAAGGTGGAAGAAGGAAAATGAAATAGTGATTTTTCTGGGCAAGTCAAGATAATCATTATTGGTTATAAATTATTATTTATACTTTTTAGTTACAAAAGGGAGAGGTGAGAGCAATTTTTTTGTTGGCTATCTGAGGAACGCCGACCTGGACAGATATTAAATTTCAATAATTTCAAGAAAAGATGTACTGAAAATGTATAGGTAAGCAATTTTTACTAATAATAATTGTTTTATGCACTTGAATGTGCACTTGTGAGATTAGGTCAGAGGAAACCCGATTTTTAAAAGAAGAATACCAGGAAAATGAAAGGAAGAGTTCACTTTTTTTTTTACAATATGTAAATAAAAATAATAATACTCGGAACGACAGCGGATTGACACTCCGGATCAATTTTAAATCAATAACTGATAATCGAATTATCGAATACTGACTGGCAACTACCTACAAATGTCATCACCCCCCGACCTCTCTCTCACACTCCATGACCGGCTCGGGCCGATAAGGGGTTTTTCGTTCCCACCTGTACCGTGTACATAAGACGGTGGACAGTTGATAACGCGATCGGGCGTTTATATGGTCACGATCGAATATTATTTTGTCTCGAAAATTGATAATTACAACAACTATACACTATAGTATAAACAACTCATGTTATCATTTCTCACGTAATGGCTGCCAATTAAAATTAAATTAGTTACTTAAATTAAATTCAGTCATTCCGCAAAAAGTTCAAGTCCAAATCGATTTTATATCAACTGTGACTTAATAAAATCCACACCCAGTTAGTTATATTCTGTTGACAAATTGTTTTTTATTAAATAATGAAAATTGATAAAATAAACATCAACTACGTCATAAAAGTTTTATACAGCGCAATACAAGTTACAACCAGAATAAAAACTAGCGTTTTTGTAGAGATTTAAAAATACTATTTGAAACGACATACAATATTTTCTATCATAACTGATTTCATAACTCATTACGGAGCAGATAAGAGCGCGCATCAATATGCCGTTCGTACACACGATGATGCCAATAGAACAAAAAATTATACTTTTTTTTTTTCGTTTCTCACATCTGGTAGAGTTCGTTTGTACTTAAAAAAAAAAAAAAAAAAAAATTGAACTTTGTGTCAACTTAAAGTCAAAAGTGTTACTTGAGCACAAAACTCAATAGTATCATTCTGCATAGATCTACATAAAATTGTTTTAATGATTTGATAACAATTTTTTTAAGATTTTAAGTGTTTTTTGTTAAAATATACGCAATCTGCGAAAACACAGTTTTCCGGCTATTAAAAAAAAACTGTAGTGCCGAATTATTTTTCCGTTTAATATGTTATGGATACATATGAGTTCCAACTACTGGCAAATTTTCAACCCAAAGGTCTTAAAATTACGGCTAAAAACCCCGAAAAACAAAAAAACCTGTCCCCCCCCTAGGGGGGTGGGCATTGGGTTAAATTCAAATTTGATATAACTGACGTGCGCGGGCATACTAAATAAATATTTCTTATAAATTTCAACTCGATCCGACTCTTTTTCTCGAAGCTATAGCCAGTAAAAGTTCTAACTTAAAAACTCGTACGGTTTTTTTTTTTGTTTTTTCAACTTTCGCCTGTGAAGAGTTAAACTTTTTCAACTTTTACCCCCCCAAAGTACCAACTAGATGAAAATTGCGATTTATAGAGTTGCTATTCGAATTGGTCCAGTATTAAAGAAGTTACAGTGTATACAGATAAAAAAAAAACATACATCAGAGTAAAACCAATACCTTCTCGCTTTGCGAGACAGCGCATCCCCTTGCCTTAGTCCATTCCTAGCCTCAAACTGTGTTAACGTCTCTCCTAGGTAAAGCACCCTACAGAAAGTGTTTGAGTTACAATTTCTAATTAGTCTTCCAAGTTTGCTTGGGAAACCAAAATCTTCAAGTGCTATCCATAGTTGAGTCCTGTTAATACTATCATAAGCCTGCTTAAAATCAATAAAAATCATATATAAGTCCTTGTCATATTCATAATATTTTTCCATGATTTTTCACATTATGATCACTGGTCGATTTTCCTTTTCGGAAGCCACATTGGTATTCACCAATTATCTCTGAGGAATACTTTTCGATTCTGTTTAATATAGTAGTGGAGAGTACCTTGCATGTAGTATCCAGCAAACTTATCCCTCTATAGTTCTCCGTGTTTGTTGGGTCATCTTTCTTAAAGGTGGGACATAAGATAGCTGTCTCAATTGTTGGAGAGCTGAGTTTTTGTTCTTCCATTCGGGGCTGACCACGTAAATGAACAGTGATATGTTTACTATTATTGAAAGAATATGTTCATATAAGAAATTTTAAATAGAATGATACTATTATCTACTGAAATTTGTTTTGGATTTAATTGATACTAAGGAATGAATCTGCCAAATTAGTTATTGTTTGTTTGTTGCATGTTTTAGGTAAATATTATCAATAATTATATTGACAATATATTTTCATAATATATTTCATTATATTGTTTAGCAACTTTTTGTTATGGTAATTTTTATGTGTACCTGCTATATTAGTCTTGTTATCATGAACTATTCTTGATTCTGTACGCTTCTTTTAAAAGTGGACATTTATGTGTGGTCAAGTATTTTAATTGTTTAAGTTAAAAAAAAAATGATTTGCATAACTATGATGATATGTATTTATATCAAAAAAATTACTATAAGAATTTCAGAGTTTTTATTCAACTAATATGTGTTCTAGAAATACATGGAAATGTATATATATATTAATAAACCTTTTTTACCAAAGAGTACTCAATTTTTGTTTTTTTTAGCAACTCGTGTGCTTAATGTTTTTACTCATATTCCAAGTATTTTGTTCATATCAAAATTCTGTTTTACTAGATTCACTGCCGGACCCTGTACTTGTATTTAAACTTCACGTACATATTAAATGTTAATAGCTTATGTGTTAGC